ATGTTATTAAGAAGCACCCTTGTATCCTGGTTGAAGGAGGGTTTTTGTCACATTGGTTGTGTGTTATAAACATCATGCCTGACGGTGGTAATGCCGTGGATGAATTGTATCTTCACTCTTGTCCTACATTACTGATGATGAGATGGAGACGCAAAACCCAGCTAAAACCAAAGTGGGTTCATCTCCAACTGATGAGGTGACTCAGTCGGTACAGAAATTACAGATTTGTCGGATGCGGATGAGTAAAAGAGAGAATCAGAGTCAGAAAACCTGGCTGATGTTATAATCATGCATACAGGGAGCTGAATATTGTAACATTTGTAGTTCACCAAGTTGTACATGAGCTGTCCTCCACCTTTTGTTGCTAAACAGGGAAAATGCTACTGTGAGGTAAAAATGTTGGCTTAATGGTGAAATGAACTGCTATAATGGATTCCTACATTCCTGAACAATTGAAGATCTGTGCACGTTGAGCAATAAATATATATATACCATATAAAGCCAAATTAAAGAATGTTAAGACTGTACACAGTGGATACTACTTCGTCTATGCAACCTCTCAGTCTTTAATATTTCAAAACCATGAATTTGAATTGAAAATATTTTTTCCTTAAAAAACCTAAAATGGAAAGTATGTGTATGCAGAACCACTTGTTGGTGGTGCATTGTAACAGTGATAATTTAAGCACAGCTTCATAATCCTCTCTAAACTGTTTCCCACTTAATACAGTGTAATGCCGACCAGCTGCACAGCACGAGTTCCTGCAAATGGAATTGTTTTTTTTTATTTCGGCAGAGTAGCAAATCCCTTAAACAGATCTTAATTGTTCTCTGGAGATTCTGATAGGTGTAAATGGGAGTCCTTCCAACTACCACAGAAGCAATCACTCTGTGGGAGGTTGGCTGGGGTACTTTAAAACCCATAAATTTAAAGAGAGTGAGTTAAATGGTCAAATGGTTATAAACGACTGTGTTCAGAGAATCGCTCCCACGGCTCAGAAATCCTGTCGCACGTGGAGACATTTTGTGGGTGAAGTGTGTCACAGCTTATGATCACATGTCAGCAGCCAGAGAGACAGATGTCCAGATGTGGCTGCAGATGAAGGCCGTTAATCTGAGTGGTAAATATACTGTACCTTGGTCCAATCTATGACAGAGGGTCATCTTAGCCAGCTCCACTTCGGGCCCCGGGTGGTCCAGTACCTGCCTGCACCACTGGAGAGGGCTGAGGCCACTCTCACTCTGAAGCTTGGCTTTGGGACTCACATACAGCCTGAACACACAGCACAAGCAACAGTTTAGTCCTGACACCTTTACAGCACAGCCCATGGTGGTACTTTACAGAGAGGACTGACGTTATATAAGAAGGTTCAGGGCACTTTATAACAAAGGGCAAAGCCATGACTGTGTGAAGGGAGTGATTTTTATAAAATCCAAATGCCAATATACCCTAAAAGTTCAAAATGTCCACATAGAGCAATTTCCATTTTACTAGCTCAGACATAAAACCGATCCGTCAAATAAAAACTAAAGCGGTGACAGCTTCTTTCGGTGCAGTGATGTATAGGATGTGAGTACGTGACTGCTACAGAGATACACAGGTTTTATCACCGGGGTGGTCGATACTTGTGAAGCTTAAACAACTATTGGATTAAATAATGGAGATTAATAAGCAACTATGTGGCTAAGTGATTAATAATTATTCAACCAAAAATGGCAAATTCCTTAAAATTTGCTGCTTTCCTTTGTCAAATATGAACACTGAATATTATTATTATATGAAGAAGCCTCCTTGTGCTATGGGAAATTATAATGGGCAATTTTCCCTATTTTCTGACATTTTATCCACCAAATGAAGAGCCCATGAATAAAGCAAATGATCAAAAGACTACTGGAAATAACTATTTGTTGCAGCCATGGATACTTGTGCCTTGGTCAGACAAAAACTGAAAGTAAAATGGAGTTTACTGGATCTCCCTTATTCCTGACCAGTGAATAACGAAAGTAAAACAAGCTATCTCATCTCTTGCTTTGATTTTGCTCATAATGACAAGCTTACACATTAAATCAATAAACCAAATATATAGGTGTGACTATGCTACTCTGCAGTGACAGATTCCTAAAAATAAATTAAACTGGGCTGTAAAAAAAAATGATGTGTCACCAAACAAAAGCGACCTTTTATTCTGCAACTAGGCTGTAGTGTTACACTGTCTTGGGGGTTAATTAGATATGTTAAAGGCAGTGAAGATATACCGGCACAGTGGGTGAAGGCTGGATCCCATCAGCGCTGCATTCAGCTGTGTGCTACATTTTCCACAACATCACATCACATCAGATACATAAAGCTGGAAACGCTTCAGTAGCCAGCATGTCAGTGTGTGAGCTACCTAAGTCAGCACATACAGCGCTTCAAAGTAGTTCAGCCTGGGGCTGAACACCACACACAAAGCCGAGCTGTTTGATCACAGGCTGAAGGGGGTCATTGTTTCTAATTTCATCCCACTGCTGCCTTATTCTGAACAGATACCTATGCTGCATGCACAGTGCATTCTGGGATACCCAAAGATTGTGTCAAATCTGTTTTTGTTCTTTTTCCCCCTGTAAGAAGTCACTCTGTTTGCCAGTGTCTGCAAGTCTACTCCACCAGGAGAGGAATCAATAGTGTGATCAATAAGACAGGGTACACGGCAGGGTAGCATTACACATAATGTGATAAAAACTGTGGCTAGTTGACAATCCTGTGGCCTATAAAGCATCTCTCAGAGGCAGGCAAACACAAGGGACGCCGATGTTTCCCTGCACATTCACACACATATGCGTCTGCGTTAAAGTGGCTGATAGAAACAGAGTAGTTACCAGCCATCAGGCTCTCCGACAGGGAGCACGATGTTGAGGTCCAAAATATCAACCTCATCCAAAACAGTTGTGGCTCCAGCGGCGCCACAGTCCTCCCCAGCGGCGTCAGGAGACACCGAGCTCGGCTGAAAATAGGCGAACGGCTCCTCCGCTGGACCTCGGGGTCCGGGGGCACACGGATGCGACTGTGTCGGGCTCGAAATGCCATATTTACTGCAGAAATTGTCACTCGGACACGACGTACCTCCGTGCAGACACGACAACGAGGTCTGGAGATGAGGGCCGATGGAACAATTGTTTACAGCGTTCGCTCTAGTCCGCAATTGTTCATTTTGCTTCTCCAATTTTCGGACTAATTCCTGAAGCTTTAACACCTCCAGCTCCGCGTTGGTGATTTTATTGTTGCCATTGACGTCTGCCATCATCTGGGGGTTCAACACCTCTGCTTCCATTTGGTAAAAAGCACATTGAGAGGGGCAGAAAAAGCACGGCCTGCCTGCAGAGGGTCCTGCTCAATTCAGAGAGGGTGTAAAGATCCCCTCGTTTGAAGCTACTCTGCACGCACACAAACACGCTCACTCACAGACACACACACACACATACACACACATACACACACACACTGATGCTGCCTCTGCTGCTGCTACTGGGATGATTGCACAGCCTCCATCTCATTGGTCAGCAGCTTGGAGTTCAACTCCCATCACACCACCGAGGAAGTGGTGTGGGCGCTTTCAAAGCACACACACAGTGACCTTTATATATATATATATTAAAATATTAAATTATTTTTTTTATAAATTGGTAGAAATCCATGTTACACCTAAATTATAACTGAGGGAGCCAGATACCATTTTAGAAATATTAAGGTTATGAGTCCACATAATCCCTTCACTCCAGACACCAACGAGAAAGCCTTTAATTGTAAAATTTTAATATTTATTTAATGGTTTAGTTCCATATTTTATGCTAAATGAAGGTCCTTATGCTCTTTCAACGACTTACCCATATTGTCAAGAATACCTTTCTTCTGGTGGAGGAAAATTTAATAATTTATTAACGATGTTATAACAATACCAAGTTAGCCTAAAGGTAGTCAAGAGACTGAGTAATAATATTGGAACCAGCCTATTAAATACCTGCCATATGTGTTATTTCTTCCCCCAGGAGCCAGCTGGGCTAGCTCGGCTTTGTAAGTGTTTACTTAGTGGAGATTTACTGAAATACACCACACACAGCTCTTATAGAGATTAGCTAGTTGCTACTAAATATTTAGTCCCATTAACTGCAATGTGTAACTGTTAGCTCAACTGAGCTAACTGACATTTACCCTAACTGTGATCTGTTTAGACTGAGATGTAAAATAGTGGACAAAACAACTTAGACTGACACTTAGACTGACAAAATAACACAATTATGTTTAATAAAAATGTACACTATAAATGTTGAATTAACCTACATTTGACAAAAATAACATTAACTCACAAAATGTTATGCTAATATTAATGTTAATAAACAGCTAGGTTAGCATAATCAGTTCCCTTGATGATATGTATAGCCCTAAAAAGCATAAATATTACAAACTTTAAACATATTCTCCATGTATAGAAGAATGTGTATAGAGCGTCTCCATTGAATGCATGAAGAATCTCTATTAAAACTTCTCAAATATTCAACTTTCTTTGAAACAGTTTCAATGGAACAATGTAGACTCATCGTCACCCTCTTCTCAGTCATTCATACGTTCACAGAGAAACTCCATTCAAACATTCACGGCCCTTGAGACTTTCTCACATCAGTTCACCTTTTTCATATCTTTTCATACTTCTTACACAATTGCAGTTCAGACCTTCTGAGGGTTTTGCATTACTGCTTATGGGCAAGAATGCTCAGACCTATAGTGCGAAACATAAGTTGAGTAAAACTGTAAAATCTTCCTTCAAGAAACGCCTCGACAAAACAAAAGCAGCACATTTTCCATTGCTACACTACAAGAATCCATCTTTAGTAATTAGTATGTAAGTATATGTAATGTATATACACTGTAATCATACATACATATCATCAATATAGTGATAACTTTAGCCAAAAAATACACTTTATACTGTTTTATTAAGTAGTCATCAAATATATAATATGAGTCTGGACAGATATGGATGTAAAATGCAACTGGGTTGGCGGAGGCATACAACCGCAGGGCTGTAATTCTAGTATCTAGTCTAGTAACAGTAAAGACAAAATAAATATCTTAGATCACCATTCTTCATACATACAAATAATTAAAGAGTAAATAATGATACAATAAAGAACAAGGCAACTTAACACCAAAAGAACGGACACATTTTTACTCATTTTTTCAGATAAAGATATATTGGTTGCCTTTATTGCACAAAGAAAAAGCCCCCGGCCCTAAATGTTGCAATATCTCCCATCATGTTTACACACAAGAGTCCCCCTGAAGGATACAGGCTTAAGAGGATATCATAAATGCTATCTCAAATTTGTGAAAGGGTTAGATACAGAGACAGCAGTATCATGACGTCAACAACACAGAACAACTAGCTGCTATCGTGGTTGCTTGTTACCAAAAAGGCTATATTCAGACTGTAACTGTCATTTGTCAAAACACCCACGTAAAGCTCTGTCAGCTTGTAAAAACATTAGTACAGTAGAACCCACGTCACCCAAAACATATCGATAAACATTTATCAATTTCTATCTTTTTATCTTTGTTCATGTGCGTATATATCTCCAGTGAAGGTTCTCAGCGTCTCCACTTCTCTGTAGGGGAAAAAATATAAATCAAAGAATATTAGCTGTTTAATTCAAGGTGTTATCATTATTATATCAACAAACAAACTAAACAAATTCATAAAAAAACTATTATTTATTGGACACAGACTTTCATAGAGATGAAGAACTGGAAGAAAAAGGTTTTACCTCTGGTGACCTCAAAGCAGTTCTCACAGTGCACCATGCGTTTGTAGATCCACATGCTGTCCCCGGCTTTCATATGACCCAGAGTGCTGTTACACACCGCACACTGCCAAAGCACAAACAAACACTCTCATGAGGGAGTTGATACACGCTGAGCAGTCAGCTGCACAGTTCTTGATAACATCTTGTTGCCAGTGGTCCATTTACAGTGGTGCAGGAAGTACAGTACTGATGTACTGAGTACTTTGATATTTTGGAAAATCCTACTTCCCTATGTTTCAGAAGGAAAATATTCCGCCTTTTACTCCACTACATTGATCTGTAGTTACTTTGCAGATTAAAGCCTCTGAACACCCACACAGGTGTTTTAAGTCACTCAGGCTGATTGGACTTATAGTCAGGTGTAAGTTGGGAACAGTGCAGGGAATTGTGGTTCATTCCTTTTGAACTGGGAAGTCGGAATTTACAAGTTCCGAATCAACTTTCTAACTAGGAAAGTCGGAAAAAACACCGACCTCAAAGTCCAAGAAGAACTGAGTGAAAGTTGGACTAATGTTGTGTTTATTAGCATTTCTGTCTTTTGTTTCTCAATAAATCAGCCGTACAGCGTAATGCATTGTTATCAACTGGTATGGCTAACTATGGCTAATAGCTAATCTGGCTAGAGTTTGTTGTTGTTGTACTAAAACACAGTCAACTCAGGTGTGATGTCATTCCAAGCTTTGACTCTGGACTTCAAAGATAAATGGAAGGCACCATTGTGTTATGTACCATAACCTTATGTACTAATAACAGTTTCACAGAAGGTGTCACAGTAGGAAACGCCCAGGTGTAAACAGTAAGTTTAATAATGGCTGAATTTCATTTAGCTGCTTTTGTTTAAGGGTCCAGGGGTCCATTTCACCAAAGTTGCAGCATTCAAGCTGCGATTTCAAACTTAAAGTCATTTCTTGTTGAGATTATTTTGAAAGCATAAAAGTGGTCACAAACTTTAATTTTCAAGACACAAATATTAGTGAAACACGAGGCTGACCCTATTTACACTTGCTCCTGAGAAATGGCTTTTATGTAATTGACCCCTGGTTTTGTGTATGCTGGCTTCATCTACTTCAACCACTGCTTGTTGCTGACTTTTATGGAAGGAGAGACTAAACTAATCTGCTCACTTTAAAGCAGGAAGCATGACAGTTGATCTTCATGTCATCCAGGACCATCTTGGCATCAGCATTGAAGGGCTTATGGCAGTAGGTGCACAGGTCCTTCTCAAGCACTGCCCTGAACGAGACAAGTCGATAAAGTGTTACACAATGTATTACAAGAACAGCATCATATATATTGTAAGTTCATTCTTCACCTTGGAAACAGTAGTTTGTCAAAAACAAATCTTAGCCCATGCTCCATAAAATATGTGACTTGAAAATTCGAGGAAAAAGCTACTAAGTGGACCTGGAGTTAAGATTTTAAGGATGGCAAT